TCGGAGGCAGCATTCCAAGGCAGGAAGGAATCAAGGCACGTCCGAATCTAAATTCTGCTTTACTTACTGTCTCCAGAGGTACCTCCTTCTGATCGAATTTTGAAGGCAGCATAGATGTATCCTTTGCTGCCTTTGATATCCCACAATCCTGTGCGTTCCATTCCGTGACAGTTGAGCTAAAAAATAAAGATGGTGTCTGAAATGTGTGTTTGGTGGTCAGTTTGTGTGTAAATGTATATTTCTGACTAACTTTTTGCACTTTTGATGTTATTTCTAGCGTGAAATCAGTATTATAGTAATTAAATATTTGTTTAGTTATCATCAAAACTCGTTCTATTTTATTGTAGATCATTAAACCGTTACGCTGCCTCAGAAGCCTGTCCGAAATCAGTTTCATGAGGTGCCTTCGTGCTAAAACGCTGCCTGCAAAGTCTTTGCCTCATACGGCAACGAGGCAGCAAGTCAGCTGCCTAAGTTTTCGGCTGCAGCCATGGTTTCAAGGGCTAACCTTACTTCCTTAGCTCTTGCTCATTTGGGTGTTCATCACCTTTACCTGAGGCTATCTCCCCCCAGGTGACTAGGGTTGTAAAGGGGTGGAAAATGTCCAGAGACTTTCCAAAAATCCCTGGAATATTCCATAAAATCCTGGAAAGTTTCCAAAATTTCTGGAATATTTCCAAAATTTACTGGAAATTTTCCACCTCTTTGCCACCCTACTGGTGACTAGGAAGAAAATTACACCATAACTGCAATCACATCGAAGGAACAGTGAAAAACACGCTGGAACTGTTACAAAGTCCAATTTTGATGTCAAATGGCAGAATATAACCCATAAAATTCAATTATAATAATAAAAAAAAAAAATCATTACTTGAAATAAATAAACTGAAATAAAAAAATAAAATACATATATCAACTATGTATTTTAAAGTACTAACATTATACAAAAACTAATAAACAAAAATTAATAAAAACAATATAGACTAGTAAAATAAAACATGCAACAAAATTACTAAAACATTAACTAAAATCTCAAAACCTAAATTCAACATTGAAAAAAGCTAATAAATAAAAATGAATAAAAAACTATATATATATATATCAATAAAATATCATAAACTAAAATGCGTTCTTGTCTTAGGACAGCTTTGATTAACGTTTTTTGATCTACTTCAAATGTTGCATACTGTATACATATAGATTAATACAATTACAAAAACACAACAAAATAACTAAAACATAAAATAAAATTCAAAGAATTAACAAAAGCTTATAGTATACTACAAAAATAAGAGTGGCTCAGAGCAAACGGATGGAATAAAACCCATAAAAGTCCAATTTTGATAACATATGATCTGTACATGCAACTGCAGGAGTTAGTTTAAGTGCACTAAATAAAAAGCACAGCAGAATCAAAGTCTTGTGTAAGCCGACGTCATGTTTCTGTGGGAGGTGAAGACTAATCTTGCCTCGCGCAAGAAGAACACTTGGGATTTCTGTGGCAATCCACTTGAAAACATGTTTCTCGATACGGTCTCGGGACGGACCGAAATTTGAGGTTTGACTCAGATGTTGCATAAGCACTCTATATTAGTGTGATTCATGCAGGCTGGTAATAATTTCCCACCTGGTGGAAGTCACAACATTCAAGTCACAGGTCTGTTTAAGCAGAACCAACGTCTCATCCGCCGAGCGAAGGGGAGCATTTACCATCCTCTCCACAGAGATCTGTAATTGATTGTGTTATTTTAGCTCTTGCGGGGGTCTGCCCACATTCTAACTGCACATCTAAGTTGGGCGGCGCGGCATGTCTTCGCTAATGTAAGGCAGGCAAGGAAGACGGGAATCTAAAGCATGAAAGTTGCCATAGCAACAGGCCAACATTTCCCATTGTATTTGCAGAGAAAAGCCTTTAAACGTCAACAATTTCAGCATAAGCTCATATAAAGCTGCACGGCATTATTGTGCTGATGGCAGTCAGACTCCTCCAGAAAACTCACACCTACTTAGTGATTACAGCTTCTAAAAGAGCACGGATACATCCAAACGATGGGATTTTTTCCCCCTTTTAAACCTGAAAATGTAAAACCGAGAAGCGATATTTCAGATTCTGGGTTATATCATTAAATTTGAAACACAGACACACCTTTATAACATCTCAAATCATTCTGCAGAACATCATCATCTGGTTTTGTTCAAATACATTCTAAAACCCATGTTAATGATGTTGATTATTCTTATTATGTTGTGTTTAAATGGGATAGAAATGCTAGATAAATGGTATCAGACTTAAATTTGTGATAAAAAATGTTTTAAATGAGAAAAATGCTATCAGACTTCATTTTAATGGTATTAGACTTGAATTTGTAACACTAATATAACAAACCAGCTTTTTTTTGGACAGAATTTATAGCAGAGGTTTCTAAAATGAATGTATTTAGCTTTAGAGCACTATAATAGACAAAAGTACTGATGTTACCAACATCAACAAATGTTTTACTTTAGATCATTTGAATAAAAAAAGTGTTTAAATTAGAAAAAAAGGCTAGAAAAATTCTAGAAATGCTAGAAAAATGCTATCAGACTTATTACATATATAACATAACTAACCAGCTGTTTTGTAATGAAAAATGTTTTAAATGGATTAAATTAGAACAAATGTTAGAAAAATGTTGAAAATGATATCAGACTTCAATGTATTACCTAGAGTTACACTAACATAATAAACCAGCTTTTCTGGACAGAATTTATAGCATATGTTGCTTTAGAGCATTACATAATAGAAAAAAGTACTGATATTACCAACATCAACAAATGTTTTACTCTGGGTAATTTGCATAAAATTAGAGTTACACTAACATATTAAACCAGCTTTTCTGGACAGAATTTAGAGCAGCAGGTTCTAAAATGAATGTAGCCTGTGTGATTAAAGCTAAATATAAAAGTCATTTTTCATCATTTTAAAGCATTACATAACAGACCGAAGTACTGATGTTACCAACATCAACAAATGTTTTACTTTAGATCATTTACAGAACAAGAATCTCTTAATAGTTGAATTACAGCTGATTTTTGATCAAGATCTGTGCGAACTAAAAGCAAAAGTCCAAGAATTGGTCATTAAGACCCATATTGTTCAACCACTAAATATTATTATTCATATTATAATATTATAATAATATTATCATTAATATATGTATTAATATTATACACAATATTAGGGGGAATATGCTAAATATTCAATAAAATGCTTCACTTCTTAAAATCTCTGGTAGCTTTTCTGTACAGAATTTATAGCAGCAGGTTCTAAAATGAATGTAACCTTTATGATTAAAATGACCAAGAATGGCTTTTACATTTAGCGTTAAAGCATTAAATGTACTGATGTTACCGACATCAATAAACGTTTTACTTTACCTGATTTACAACACCACATCGAAATCTCTTAATATTTAATGTGGCAAAGAGAACACTCCAAATGAATTCTCAAATGCGTGTTAATATTTCTTGTTCTGCTGATAATTTGCAATGAAACGATTGTTTAAATTAGAAAAAAAAAATGGTAGAAAAATGGTATCAGACTTAAATGCATTACCTAGATTTACACTAACGAGATTATAAACCAGTTTTTTGTCATTTGTAATAAAACAAGTTTATAATTATAAAAATAAATGCTGAAAATTATATCAGATTTAATGAACTAGAGTTACACTAACATAATATACCAGCTTTTTTGGACAGAATTTATAGCAGAAATTTTTCAAATGAATGTATGGCTTTAATATTTAACTTTTGAGCATTAATAGACAAAATTAGTGATGTGTAAAACATAACCACATCAAAACCTAGTTGATTTTTGATTAATGATGCAACCAGATATTTAAGATCAGCATGAACTAAAAGCTAAAGTCCATTATAACTCATATTGATCAACTACTAAATGTACTATTACACGGTACACATGATAGTTGTAAATAAAAACAAAGATTATTGGAGTACATTTTACAAGGAAATACACTCTTAAAAATAAAGGTGCTTCACGATGCCATAGAAGAACCTTTCTTGTCGTGTCATGTCATGATTATGAAGGTGTCATGTCAGTCTTATGCACACCCCTTCAAGTAAAGTGTAACCGATGGTTCTTTAAAGTTCTTTGTGGAACCGCTGTGAAGAACCTTTTAAGCACCTTTATTTTTAAGAGTGTACTTCAGTCAGTCTATTGTCAAAATTTTACATTTACTTCAATATGTTACTTGCAGTTTTTTTTGTAGAATTAATGGTAAAACATACTAGCAATTTCTAAAAGAAAACTCTTTCTACATCAACTTTTATTTTCAGTGTAGGGAGAACTTATACTAAATATTCAACAAAACCCCTCATTTCTCAACATCTGGTACAAAATAAAGCATCTGCAATAACAGAAACAAATGAAATCATGTATATTGTTTAAAATACTGGCAATGTATTTTATCAAGTCTTTAAATTCCTTCATCTAGAGCTGCAGGGAGTTTTTCCTCGCAGAAAACTCTCTCATCCAACAGGTGAATGTGTGAGATCCTCAGCACTCAATCAATGCTCATGCAGCACTCGCCACAAAATGCGACATATTCTCTAGCAAACTGCACGCTTGTTTTAAAGGCTTCATATTACAGACACAGAGTGAGCAATCACATATGAGCGTGTTGCATTAGTGCAGTCAGGTTTCAGTAACCTGATGTCATTCTCGAGGCTCTGCAGAGACTCTGACACTCGCTCCATATGGAGTCTGTGCTGATGGACTTGAGAAGTCAAAGCCCGTCTAACATCGATAGAGATCAATGGGGAGCTGATTGAGAGGCTCTGCGACGTTTGTTGCGTTCATGCTGGGCTTGTAAACAATGCAACATCCGCGCGAGCGATCAAACAAACCGCATTCACCGCACAAGCATCACATGCATTCATTCTCTGACTTGAAGACGTCAAACACACACACACACACACACAGGCTGGTGGTGACTTACCTCATCCCATTTCATAAATCTACTGCCTCGCTTCAGACTCTCGGACACGCACACCGGCTTGAGTTGAAGCGCATGAACGCCAGGTTGAGCTCCAGCCATTCAAGCTTCAACATTTACACCCAAAGCTGCGGGGGGAAAATCAAGAGTCTCTCTCTTTCTTCTCCGGGAAGAAGCCCAAGCGGAGCGCGCTGGATGACAGCCGAACAGTTGTGGTGAATGGAAACGCTTTACGCGCTCGGATGGTCATTTAGAAGCGTTCAATTCATGCTGCTTGACTGGACTGAACGCCGCAGATTTGTGGTTGAGAACGGAAGGAGTGATTGAAGACGCGGAGCAAATGAGCAGCGGAGAGAAAGAGCGATCATAAATGATGGAGAGAGAGAGAGAGAGAGAGAGTCCTCCGCACGTTGACTCATGTGCGCACTGAGATCCAGCGCCTCCTAGCGCGCACCGCGTCCCTCCCCTGCTGGAGCAACCGGCACAATTAAACATTTCATAACACCTCTCCAAAGAGAACGCAGGCAGGACACACGCGGGGATTTTTTTTTTCGAGCTTATTTAGCCCTATAGAAATCAGCATCATCATTTCATCTGTTTTAATAATTACAAATAAATCGAAGTTTAAATGTTCAAATATGTTGCAGTGGGAAATTAAATGAAATTGCTTTGACTCGACTTTCATCACATAAAAGTCGACTTTAAAAAATCAGAAGTCGTCCAACCCCTAATATATATATATATCCATTAAGAACTTAGTAGCCTACTATAATGTAGGTTAATTAAAATGTTTTTTTTTAAATAAGTTTAAATGCACAATAATACAGTATGCTGCATGAGGAAATGAAAAGAATATATATTTTATAAATACATATATAAAGAAAGAAAAGAGCCCATTTTTATTGCCATTAAGATTTTTTGTTTTTTTGCATTGTGACATTTTTTTCATGACTAAAATGTGGGGGGAAAGTAATTTAAATTGCAAATAAATTAATATATAAATCAAAGTTTAAATGCACAATAATATTATGCTACAGGAAATGAAAACAATATACATTTTATAAATAAAGAAAAAAAGGCTATTTTGAAGCCTATTTTTACTAACATTATTATTATTTATTTATTTTTTACATTTTGACAATTCTTCATGCCAAGTGCCCTTTCCCTTTTAGTAACCTATTGTAATGTGACAAAAATGTGGAAAAAAGTTATTTCAATTGCACGTAACTTAAATTACAAATTCAAGTTTAAATGCAAAATAATATTATGCTACAGAAGGAAATTAAAATAATGTGTACTTTATAAATACATACATAAAGAATGGAAAAAGGCCAGATTTAAAGCCTATTTATTACCATTCATTTATTTTCTTTTTTTGCCATTGTGCTTTAAAAAAAAAAAATTATACATCATAGCATATA